ACGGAAAACAGTTTGGAAACGTTGCTTTTCGTAAACGATGACGTTACGATAAACATGATATTCCCCTTCCCAAGTTTTCCCCTAAACACAAATCCAAAATGAACGGTGACTGTTGCATTTTTACATTCCTCCGGCGTAGTGTGGACGGAAAACATTTGATGCGTTTTCAGAGTGAAAACGCCTTTTCCAAATTCCTCCGGTTTGGTGTGGACAGGGCCTTGGTTTTCCCTGACCGTGGATACCCTGTGCCTTCTCCTCTTGCATATTACTTACCACAGTACCACCTGGCTGTAATATGAACGTTCTGTAATCTATTCCTACTGAAGGATTCATTATTCCTTCTTTCTTAAACCGGGCGTGAAACATATCCATCGAAAACACTTCACTCCACTGAAAAAGGAAAGAATAAAAACACTAAAATAAAGAACACAGTCACAATCACGAGAAATGTCCTCTCCAATATAAGCACATCTACTAAGACACCAGTTAAGCTCTTAGAAATACGCTTATACTTTTGCTGTTAATCTAACGACCGCAGAATTTGTCCTGTTTCGTGTTTCACGTGGTATTTTTAACACACAAGAACTCGTTCAAATACAACCAATCATTTTGGCGAAACAAAATTCCTTCAACTGGCAATAACCTCCATTTCTCCCCGAAAATAATTTCACCACAAGAGCCTTTTCCACAGAACTAAGGTCAAGGCTTATTTCCAGAATTTTGCTGTATTCTAAACCTTCCTCAAATAAACGAATGATGGGGTTGCTATCTTAAGAATCTACATTTGAAATATAAGTAGTCTCACATGAAAGTCAGAGCTGAGCAACTCTGTCAGCCAAGACAAACAAGGTTAAGACCTGCCGATGTGGTTACATTTTTTTTCCAGTTATGAGGATCACGCCAGTAAGACGATCTATTCAAATGGATGACACTATGTTTTAACGCGATGGCGATTTTTTTTCTTACCAGATATCCATAATATTGTGCGTCATATCCTCCAGCCAGATGACCAAACGATGCCGGCATGTTGGTATCTAGAAGATATATTAACCATTACGGCATCATTACGCATTGAACATACGTTTAATTTCTAATAGCCCAATGGCTCAGATTCAGGAGTTACAAGAGAGAAGCGTGATGGACAATTGGCCAGAAACACAATTTGGGCGACCCCCTCTACCACTTCAAGTTCCCGGATTAACTGAGTGACGAATGTGAGCTCTGATTGGTGGTTAATGGTTGCCTTTGGACACCAGCAACCAATCAAACGCGCTTACCCAAACGTTCTCAGAAATCTCAGGGCTGGAAATTTGTGCCCATTTTCCCTAAAGTTTCTCGAGTGGTAAATACGAATACAAAGTTCTTACACAAACCTGGTGTGGATGGAATACGGAGAATCTCACTAGAAAGTTTGGCAAAAATCTCTGCTGTGTTTGCCTGTAAGGATTAAATGATATCGTAGTTATAAGACTATCTGTCACACTGGGATCAAAACGCCAAAAAGGAGGAGGACATCACGGTACAGGGCACCTTGGGTTGAGTGTGAATTGTTTGATCAAATGTTGCCAGCAAAATCTGAAAAAAAAAAAAGAAAAGAAAAAGAAAAGAGTGTGATCTGCCTGACTTCAACGAGCAAACCTATAGACCAGCGCGCATTATCACTTACTTGTCTTAAGTTAAATACACCAGTATTTGCATTACGTGATGCTATGAGTTTTTCAAGCATTTCATCTGGAACAGCACTAGAATCTGTGACCAGAAAAGAAAACCAAAACATACTTTAATGATCGAACACTTGAAGAGATATTTGTCTACCCAGGACATAAAATTCTACCCTTTCCACACCTTTGTAATGAGCTGACATGCGATGAAGAGGCTCTTTTTCCCAGCACCAGTTCTCCAGCATCTGAGAAGGAGCTTCAACAAAGTCTCTTTCAACATGAGTGCCACTGTAGCAGAGTAAAAAAAAAAAATTGAAAACGAGGCTACATTACAAACTGAGCTCTTGCTTAGACGAGCCAGACACTACTGATCCATTCTAGTATAAACTAAACTAACCAACCTCAAGAAATTTTCATGACGATCTTCAGGGTTTCAGATAATTTTTCAATGCAGGGTGCCAATAAGGAATTCCAACGGGTCAATTTCCACTGTTCCCACCAAATCATTATAAATTTTCCATTAATCTGTCGGGCCATGTAGCTCAACTTGTCGGGTTTTTGACCTGAGAACCCTGACTTATCTGGAAGACCGGATCTTACAAGTAAGAACGGGGGCAAAAACAGAAGTAAGTTTCTAGAGTGAGCTGGACCACAAGGTTTTGTTCATGCGAAACAAATATGCTCCACAGTGCTCAAATCCAGTTAACACAGAGCATTAAGCATAGAGTTGTACTCTCCTCAACGTTCTGCCAGGCTGCCTCTGCAAAGAAGTTATCAATACGCAACACACCAGGGTAGAGAGAGTATGTGAGTGTAGACTACGGGTAGTCCGGCCCTCTTTCGCTTACTCCGTCGAGCGAGACCGTAAATAAAGCGTGAGGGAAAAATGGCCGCGTGAAATCCTGGGGGCTAAACTCGCGTGCTTCTCGTACCCACGAGTTCCACGGCCATTTTTTTTCTCGCGGTTTTCTTTTGAGTCACGCACGACGGACGAAGCGAAAGAGGGATTACTCGTAGTCTAATGAGAGTAAGGGTTTTCGCTTCTCTTAGGAACACACACCTCTTAATACAGTTTCTGCCCTCCCGCTGAGACCTCTATTGTAATAAAGGAAAATAAATCGTTTCACAGCTACAGACATTTACCTGAACAATGCAAAATCTGTTTTTGCGCACAACTGATGCATCACGTGACCAAACTCGTGAAAAAATGTCTCTACCTGAAAGTAACATGTTCATGTAACGATCAGTAATCATGTCAGTTAATGAGCCGACAAAGATGCATGTTGACTTTCGTTATTCTAAGGGCGGATTACCTCTTGATGCATCAACAAAGATGGCTGTTCTGCAGTTGGTTTGGTAAAGTTTGCTACCATGGCAGCGACGGAATGCTATGATCAGAAGTATACAAGAAACAAGGAGCTCAGTCACGGTATTTTGAGTTATTTTGGCCCGTACAGAAAAAGCAACAAGGATGGTTAAAGAAGAAGAAAATAAGGGGTGATTAACACGGCTTACAAACAATGAACACGAAAAATTTAGGCTTAACTTTTTATGATGCCCAAACCGTGACATGGGTCATTTAAATGAAACCAAGAATTGTCCCACTTAATTATGAACTTGTTGCTCTCAAAGATTTATGATAAAGGCCTGCAAATGTTTGGAGAACAATTTCAGTTCAAAGTTCACAAAAGCGACATGAGAAACGTAAGTAAATGTTTACCTTTCGTGTGGGCGTGTACTGACAATGGATTGCAGAGACACATCATTTTAGAAGCATATTCAAAAAAGCCATTATAAAAAAGTACTTCTCCGCTACTGATCTCACACTATCATTGTTTAGAATGATCTAGATGACTGTTACTACTTATCAGTAGGAGTAAAAAATAAATTGTTCAATACCTGTCTGCTTCCATCAGCCACCAAACATCCAGGCTATAAATGGATAAAAATTTGCCATGAAAAGAGCTTCTACATTTCAGTTTTCTACTAAGCAAGTTAAATATCTTATATAGAAAACAATAAAGTAGATGGTAAAATGCTAACAGCCATAGACTAAATTTTCAAGATCTAATTGATAATAAAAGCTAAAACGTGGGAATAACATATTACAGGTTACTTTTCAAAGTTTAAATACCACAACAGAACACTTATGATGACATTCAATCATGGGCTTGAAATGGACCATGTAATGTAAACAATAATGCACACCACACTTAGATTTAAATAATAATTGTTTACAAATGATCATAGTCCCTAGAAATCATATTACATTAGAGTACATGTACATGTGATTGAGTTTTACTAAATCATGGAAATTTGATCATAACTTTAATCCTTACAATACATGTACATGTAACAAGCTCTGTTCGAACTTTACCAATGCAGGCACTCTTTCCCGGTTAAGCACTTACGGAACACTTAAAGTCAATTCAACGTAATGAAAAGATAATGGTGAATTGACTTTAAGAACTCAACAAGTGCAATCTGAAGTGACCAATCCGAAGGATAAATTATGCATGTGTCAACATCAAAGTTACATACTGTCTCCTATGTGGAAATACCACAAACTCCCGCTTATAAACCCTTCCGCTTATTAGCCCCTCTGGTTACAGACCAGTATATGAAAAACGCATTGTGATAAACACTGCTGTACATGAAGCTCATTTCGTGACAATATTTTGAATTTGCATATACCAATAAGCTTCCCCCCTCCCAATATAAGCCCCTCTGTTTATAAGCCCCTCTGCTTATAAGCCTATCCAAAACCCCTTACAAAGTTGTATAAGCCCAGGGCAGAAAACAACCAAATAGTCTGAGCACTAGACTGAAGGATTGAAACACCCTTTGCAGCTGGTTGAGGAATCTCAACAAAACTCAAAGAACTGCACAAAGGCAAGGTGTATTGACTTAGAAAGCTAAACAAAAGAGTCTTCATGACTTAAACTTAACTTTAATACCTCATGCAATAGACACAAAACATAACGCTAATTACTTGTTGCAATATTAAGTACATTAATTGTATCTAATCTTGTCTGGAAGCAACACACAGACTAATTTGAAACTGCCACTAAACATCTGGCTAAGAGCTAAAACGTTTATATTACTATCACATGTACTTCTCACATTAGATCACATTTTTGAATTAATTTTGGCAACTGATCCCAAACTGGGAGTGAATTGTCTGTGCAGTTACTGCCACGGAATCATGCCAAAAAAACTACCAAAATAAGTTACATATATTTTTCCCAAGACAACTTTAACAGAAAGAGTAAACCCTGGAAACTAAGACTGATGGTAAAACTGAGATCCTGTCTCAGACAAGGAAGTTCTAAGGGACAGTGCTGCAAAGTGAAGGAGTCACACTAATCTGTATAGTTCCTAAATGGGGAGTACCATCCCCCCCTGCCCCTGCCAACCCAGACCACTCAATAAACACACATGACAACATGAGCCCTACACGTTTCCTCTACTTTCACAAGCCTGTAACTTTAGAACTAAGTTATTTTAACTCGTATTCGACCTCTTGTAAATAACCATGTCCAGCACTCACACATGACAACATGATCCC